GTCTTGGTCTCCATTGCTCTGTGTTATGTGTTATATGTGTAAGTGCCATCTTTAAGCGTTAATGTACATTTTTTATGTTCCTTTCAGTTCTGACGGCATTCTCGTCATGTTGGCATTTCTCCTCTGGACGAATAAATGTCTGTTTAAAACTTAAGAACGATTTTGAGCCTTTATAAACTCAGAGGGAGTAACAGTCAGAACTCAGCCTGCTTCGTGCTGGAGGAGAGAGAGAGACGCGGAGACGCTGAGATGAGCGGAGCCATATGCGGAGCCACGCGCCCGGTGAATGACATCGCTCTCAAACATTAAAGGAGAGGCCGAGAGCACGCGCGGACAACCCAGACTACGGCAACCAGGGTCCAAGAGAGCAGCGTGGTTAATATAAGACACGTTTAAACAAGTTAAATGTGAAGAAGTAGATCAACCTTGCTGATGTTAAAAGGGACTCTGTTAAGTGCTTAAAGGGGTAGAAAACAAGTCTAAGATAAAGTTAGGCCCCGTCCCAATTCTCCCCCTTGCCCTTAAGTGTGAGTGCAAGTGTGAGTGCAAGTGCGAGTGCAAGTGGAGGGTGCACTCAACTCTCCCTAAGTATGGGACACCCTTGTATGCAAATGAGCGTCCACTACGTCACACGCAATGTCAATTTTTCGGATTTCACCCCAGTCCAATAGGTGGCGGTAATACATATTTCTTCATAGGGGAGGTAAGACCGGAGAAGTACTGCTGTTGTTGTTACTTGTGAAAATGCCGACCGCAGCGGAGCTCCTGCCTGTTGTGTGTGCTATGTTGATTTTTCTCCGTTCGCAAAGTACACGGAGAAGCAACAGACGTAGGATGAGACTTCGACGTATGGTTGCGCTTGCCCAGGTATGTTGTTTTCTTTCATAATGGCGCGGCTTTGCCCGACTGCATATATCTACAGTCTATGGCTGCAACATTACTAACTATCGTACCAAAACTGTGTCTAAAACAAGACGACCTACAAACGATACAAAGATCAAAAGTTACATCCATATGTCCAAACGTCTAACCATGAAGTATTCATCGCTGTTTTAAGTATGTACTAAACACGTGTATCACAAACGCAAAAACAAAGCGGTGCAGCATTGGCTACACTGGTTCTACTTTCCTTTCACTGAAATTTTGAGTCACAGTAGTATATTGAGAACTATTTATATTGCGGAAAATATTATATGAAGTACTGTAATGCCTTTGCATGTATAGTTTGTATTGTTAATGTCACATCACTGCTTTCATGAGGGGAATTTGTGCTCTTAGGCCATCACTCATGCTATATATTTTTTTGCTCTTTGTTTTTCAGAGTGACCGTCCAGCAACGTACTGTAAAGTCAATGTGGTTGTTCCTATTCTACGCTTGTGGTTGGATGTCGAATTGGACACAAAACCTGACTTCAGACTGTCCAGGCAGGCCATGCATTCGCTGCAAAGTGTAATGAGGAGAGCGCAAGATCATGGTTGGGGCAATGAATATGAGGTCCTCATATATGTATACTGGCTTGCCCATGGACTATCCTACCGTGTTGTGTCCAGAGTGTTCAGTATTCCTAGGTCTACTGTCCACAGGGTTGTCCATAGGGTAGCACAGTTCATTTGGAACAATCTACACCGAGCAATCAGTTTTCCAAAGATGGCTGACAATGATGCAGTGAGTAACGGCTTTGCCGAGCTTGCTGGAACACCTCTACTAAACAAAGCGGTTGGAGCCATTGATGGTTGTCATGTTCGCATAAAGCCCCCATCACTCCATCGTCTGGACTATCTAAATTACAAGGGTTTCTACTCAATACAAATGCAAGCTATTTGTGATCACAGGAAAATTCCTAGACATTTTTGTGGGCTATCCAGGTTCTGTGCATGACACGCGCATTCTGAAGAACAGCTCGTTTTACCTTGCAAGAAGGTACCCACCTACGGGGTACTTCATTCTGGGAGATGGTGGGTATCCTTGTTTGGAGGGACCAATCGCCCTTATTACTCCATACCGAGAGCCAGTGAACGGCCGGGCCCAAAGGAAATTCAACTACCATCTGTCAAGAGCCCGTTCTATTGTGGAGAGAGCATTTGGGATTATGAAGACTCGCTAAAGGTCAACCCTGTTCAGAGCCCTGGAGGTCAAGCCTACATTTGCACTCACAGGTTATGGCATCGTGTGCCTTTCTGCACAATGTATGTCTAGACAACGGAGCCTGGAACCTGATAGTGATGCAACAGACATCCTGGACCCGGAACTTCCTCTCCATGAAGCTGCTGAGGAATATGAAAGGGCAGGGACTGCAATAAGGGACAGGCTCGCTGTATTGTTCAATGAAGACCCTTAAATGTAAAGTAAATTTTTCAATAAAATGATTTAAAGAACAATGGATGACCTTTTCTTTAATCCTTTCCCAAGATCCTAACTTTAAGTTTCAGTATTTCTTCCTAGAACAGTGCAACATCAACAACAAGGATGGAGTTTGTCAGTAGTTGAGCATTAGCATCTGTGACTTTGTATAATCATGAAGGATTTTTACTGACTGTCACGAGGGCCTTGGATTTCCTCTTTGTTCATGGTTTCTTTTCTGATTGTGAAAAACACCAAAAAAACGTGTTGTGTAAAACATGTGTGTGGACACTGCCTTGTGTGACCGAAAGCTTAGGCCCAATTGTGACATCATCCACCTCTGCTCTGGTTTGATTCTAAATAAAAAAGGCCTGGTGCAGGGGGAGAGTTTGCTATATTTGTGAGACCTATCACAGGTTATAGTTTCGACCTCCTCCCCTTTAACTGCGTCAGATCTCTGTGTGGCTGCAAAGATGAATCCTACTTGGATAGTCACGCTGTGGAACTAAAATATTCAAATATTTGTTTTAAGTTTTATCTTTTCTGTGTCATGAGGCATGTAGGAAATGGCAATTTGGAAATCTCAATGGTAACAGACTTTTGTCGGCCTGATAATGACCCTTCGAGTTGATGTGTGAGGTTTATATAAACAAATACAAAAATTTAAAATGAACAATTAAATTTAAAAAAACAATAAATATTCTTCTAATCAAACATTAGTCCTCGTGTGTTTAGAAGAATACTTTATTGTGAAGCGATAATTTATGCTATTATCATCAGAATTGTTATTATCGTCAATATTATTATACTTGTATTAGTACTATTAATATTATTGTTGTTTTTATTACTATTATAATGATGATTATTATTATTATCATCATAGGATGTGTGTGTGGATAAGGAAGTCTCTGCGTCTCACACAGCTGCCCCTGCAAACCGGCAACAGATAAAGCAGAAGAAAATGGATTGATGGATTATTATTACAACAAAAAATACATACAAATATGCCAGATTGTGGGTTGTATGTACAGGCTTTGAACGCTAGATGGACCTAAAGAGTCGTTTTGGGAGACACAGTCACACGGTCTGCTTTTCAGTTCTAGACGTTGGATTAATTAGATTTAATCCAACGTGGTCCCGTGAATACGTTTGATACACGAGATTAGAATTATAGTCAATGTATTAGATTACCCAAACAAATCGATTTGTTGAAAAATAGAACAATATCCAAAAGTTTCAAAAAATTACACAGAACGACCCATATAAAACTGATAACAAACACAATAATTAGCGGCTACGTGCATTTCTGCCATCTAAGAAAAAAAAAAAAATCTCGAGGAACGCTGAGAGCCGTTTTTGATCTTGAAAACTCTATTTCCCAGAATTCCTTTGAACGTCACATTGGACTCACCCGGAAGTAAGCGTCACAACAACATTGCAATGACACCGCGGCGAAATCACGAATAACAGCAAACTTTAAAAACGTGTTTGGACTTCTCAGCTTTGATCCAAACACACATGTATGTTTGTAGTAACGTCAGAAAATACTTTTACTCATAACTTGAAGCGTAACGAGGCTGGTTAGCTACTGGCTCTGTTAAGCTTTGGTGTGATGGCTCTGGTGCTTATGGACAGTGATAGAAGTTTTGTCTTGGTGATAGATGGATAGATAGATAAGTAGATAGATAACCTAGACTAGAGATATAGACAAAGCAAAAGTTAATATTTCTCACGGCGCAGTCACGTGACATTGCACTTTGACCCTCTGTGTTAACTTCCAGGTACTGAAGCTGGTAAGGCATGCTTCGTTATTATGCTAAAGTTAGAGATTTTATACTTATTTATTATACAAAAGTTAGAGATTTTTCACTTGCTTCTTTATATTGCTAAAGTTACACATTTTATACTTCTTCTTTGGGCTATAGTTAGAGATTTTATTCTTAATCCTTTATTATTTTAAAGTTGGGTTTTTGTACTTAAGTCTTGCTTCTTCATGATGCTAATAAAGCTAGAGATTTTATACTTGCTTCTTTTTTGTGCTAAAGTTAAGAGATTTTTTTGTTCAATTTCATTATAGTCTAGAGCAGGGGTCTCCAACCTGTAGCTCTTGAGCCATCAGTAGTTAGCCACCCTCTTCCAGGTAGCTCGCCAAAGGATTTAGAAATTACCAAATCAAATAATACTTAACATTTCAGATTGTATTATTCATTATTTATAATTGTAAATGCACTTATTGTGTGCATTAGTAACAAATATGCGACGGTAAATAATGAGTGTACCCGATTGCAGGCTCCTTATATCACCAATATTTCACCACATTTTTCCCAGGGCCATTTCAAGGAGTAGCTCTCTGCTTTTTTCATCCCGGGAAAGTAGCTCTCTGGGCGAAAAAGGTCGGAGACACCTGGTATAGAGTTATTGTTCATTTATCTTATGATGTATTCTCCTCATTCCTGCTATTCTGTAACCGGTGATACAACACTGAAATCTCCCCATTGTGGGACAAATAAAAGATTTCTCAATTTTAATTTACCGAGGTTTTAAACAAGTACTATATATAGGATGCTTGTATGCTAGTGTTTAAAGGTATTCCACTTGTGTGTGTAGGCAGCTGCTCCACGTCATTTCCCTCTCTCTTGAAGTCCTCAGGTCCTGAAACATGGCCCTGGCTGGAGTGCGAGTGATTGAGCTGGCTGGTCTGGCCCCGGCGCCATTTTGTGGTATGGTCCTGGCGGATTTCGGGGCCAGCGTGATCCGGGTCGACCGCACCAAAGCTGGGGTCACGGTGGACACCCAGGGGAGAGGGAAGCGTTCTGTGGCCATCGACCTGAAGACCCCTGCGGGAGTCGGCCTCCTCAAGAAGCTCTGTGTCCAGTCAGACGTGGTCCTGGAACCGTTTCGGAAAGGTTAGAAGACCCTTTAATCATGTGCTGTTGGACTTCAGGGTGTCCGCTTTTCAGGAAATATCTCATCGTGAATTTTCTCTTAAAATAGATGCATTCGAGTACAGTTACAGTCGTTAAAATAACAGTTTGATGTAGAAAAACAACACTTGAGATCAGCCCTCACTAATTAACAGCTAATTACGTGCTAATTAGTGTACCCTAACCCTAGACCTTGACCTGGACCTAGACTTAGCCCACATGGGAAAGTCAGTTAGTAGTTAGTTAGATATTGTATAAGACCATGCAGAACAAAGAATGATATGTGCTTAATAAATACCAGATAAATAACCATAAATTATGCACTAATTAGCACTTAATTAGCTGTTAATTAGTGAGGGCTAAACTAAAGTGTGACCAAACACTTAGACATTTTTACTGAAATATTGTTTTCTTGTTTTTATTTTTATTTATATAATGATCTACAATTAATGGCAGTTATTAAGAGTGAGTACAATCTGTGTGTGTTTTTTTTTTAAGTAAGTAATGTTTATTTTTTCTAGTGCCTTTCACAGATCAGAGTCACAAAGAGCTTTGTAAATGTTTTTCAGTTTTGCTTTCCGTGCAGTTGGTGTAACCTAAAAGTCACCATTTCATACTAGGCTGTTTATTCCGGCGATTTGTCAACACATTTCCAGGATTGGGTGATTGTCCAACATCCTGTGATGAGAATGAATCTGCATCATTGTGTTTGTTCTGCAGGAACCAATCAGAGCAGGATCAGTGTCTAGTTAAATTTAGATAAGATAAGATAGACTTTATTGATCTCACACAGGAGAAATTTACAGCAATTAATTATAAACTGATTCACCATGACAATATAAATGGATAGCCACATTTCTACGAAGGAAGTCAAATCAAAAGACTGGTGGCCCAAAAAAAAACAAATCTGTTGCTACTTGAACCGTGAGTAGATGATTATAGTCTCTAAGTGTAGTCTGTATACAGAATGAACCTGCCCTCTGACAGACAATATTTTAGTCCACTTACATTGTTTTGATTCTAGTCGAGTAAAACTAAAGGAGCACTATCTAAAAATGTGGCCAAAAGTGGTACTGCAGCCTCTCCCACTCTCCCTGACTCAGGTTGCCAGATATGCAGACGAATCCAGCTGGGACCATAACAGCAGAATAGACAAGAGTTTTGTCAACAACAAATCTATAACAAACACCTTTTTCACAAAGATAGAAATCCTGGTTTTTTTCCTTGTTTTGTTCTGTATCCACATGGTACTTTACCAGTGAGATTAGCTCGAGGTGGTGAGTTCTGGCAACCCGGATCATGGATTGGTGAAACGGTGGAGGGCGGGACATTGAAATGAAAACAATAACAAGATTAAGGGGCAGTAAAACTAATTTTGAATTCTAAATATCTCTGAACTACTGTTATCAGTTAAATAATTATTTTAATATAGCATATTTTATTAATGCCTGTAGAGTCAGAAAAAATCCTTTCTTTGTGGTGACTGAGCAAAAAGGGTCTGACGCTCCACATAAAAAATAAGAAATGTCCACGAAAAAGATTCTTGAATAATGAAAATTATATTTATTTTACAAACAAAAAATGTACTTCCAATTGTACCAAAATCAAAATGAAAGGCAGATGTGAGACAGAGTGAGTGAGTGAGTGAGGTCAAAGACTGTCTCTTCCTACTGCAGCCACACCTCCAGGTGATACTGCACACCTTATGTAGCCCTTCCCCAGTGCGTCCACTAGATGGCGACAAAAGCGTCAATGGGGGCTGTACAAAGTATCTTAACTACATTTTGGCTCCTACATTTCCGGCCCCAAATGTTATATTTCCAAAATAAAATAAACATTTTCCTCCATTTTTATTAAGGAGCCCAAAACAAAATATAACAAGTGTGTTGTTTTCTTCTTTAATCTTCTTCCACAAGAAGGCAGATCTTAGTGACCGGTCTTTCCAGGGTTCCTGTCCTTGTTTTTAGTTTTACTGACCTCACCAGTCCTTTGGAGTCGGGCCTCGTTTCCAATATTTTTGCTAGAGGCCATGAGGCTCGTGGTGAGGAGGGGTCCACAATTAGAACTATGTCTCCAACGTTGAAACTTCTCTTTACCTTGAACCACTTCTGTCTTTGTTGCATAGTTGTGAGATATTCTTGTGTCCATCTCCTCCAGAATACATCAGCCAAGTACTGTACTTGCTTCCACCGGCGCCTGGTGTACGAGTCAGTATTGGAGAATTCTCCGGGAGGGAGAATGGGCTGAGAATTCAGCAACAGTAGGTGGTTTGGGGTTAGAGGCTCAAGATCAAATGGGTCAGATGAAGCTGTGGTGATGGGACGGCTGTTAAGTATGGCCTCCACTTCACAGAATACAGTTTGGAGGCCCTCATCATCAACAGTTTGCTGGTGTAGGAGACTATTTAACCCCACCTTGCTGACCCAATTAATCTTTCCCACACTCCACCGTGGTGAGAAGCTCCTGGTGGGTTAAATGCCCAATCAATCCCCTCATAGATGAGGGTTTTTTGAATTTTTCTGCCATTTAAGTGGGACAAGGCCTTCTTCAGTTCCTTGTTTGCACCCACTAAGTTGGTGCCGTTGTCTGACCATATCTTTTTAGCCTGCCCTCATCTACATATGAATCTCCTAATGGCATGAATACAAGAGTCTGTATCGAGGGAACAGGCCATTTCAATGTGTATAGCTCTACATGAAAGACATGTGAAGAGCACGCCGTAACGTTTGACTAAACTTCTCCCTCTTTTTGTCTCTATTGGGCCAAAGTAGTCCATGCCAACATTAGTAAAAGGAGGGAGGTCTGGTAGAGTTCGTTCTCGTGGCAAATCCGCCATTTTTTGTTCTCCTGCTTTGCCTTTAAGCCGTCTGCACTGGACACATTTTGCAATAATATTTCGGGCAGCAGTATTGGCATTTACCACCCAATACTTTTTACGTAACTGAGATAGAACATAGTTTCTGCCACAGTGTCCATACTTTGTGTGTATGTGTCTCAGCAATAAACATGAGATGTGACAGCTTTTGGAGAGTATAATGGGATATTTAACATCCTCCGAAACTGTTGCTTTTGACAGTCTTCCCCTTACTTTAAGCAGTCCATCTGCTAGAATAGGATCGAGCCTATAAATGGTGCTTCTCTTGTGAATTTCACCACCTGTACCAAGCTTTTGAAGTTCTGTTGGAAAAGCATGCCTTTGAGAGAAGGATACGATGGATTTCTCTGCCCTGCCCAGATCCTGAATGGACAGGTAAGGACCCTTGACTGCTGGAAGTTGGGAATACAGCTTACGTGTGGTGGATCTGGTTTTTACTTGTCCAACAGCATGTTTCCTTTTTGCAGCCAGGGCCAGCAGGTAGTCTCCAAACTTTTGATACCAGGCAACTGCTTTTAACAACTTGGTCCAATCTGAGAAGAAATGCAGAAGTTTATGAGTTGCAGTAGCACCATCTTGCACACTAATGTTGTACACCGCCGCATGTTTTTTAACTTCTGGGTCATCTTGTGATAGTACATCTGTCACTGTGTGATTTGGCCAAAAACATTCTCGCGCCATCAGAAATGCAGGGCCCAGAAGCCATCTTTCATTTTCGTTGAATTTAACCACACTTTGTCCTCTGGAAGCATCGTCATTTTGTTTACTTTCAATGTACCGCCATTGCTCAACAGTCGTATTGTCTCTGATCATAGATGTTCTGTTGGCAACAAACGTTAGAAATCTTGTAGTCTCATTTGCAATGTATTTAAGGACAGCTTGACTATCAGTCCAAAATATAGATTTTGTAAATTTTACCATTAGCTCTGATCTTAAAAGCTTGTCCACTTTGACACTTATGACTGCTGCTGTGAGCTCGAGCCGCGGTATCGTCATTTGCTTTAAAGGGGCTACTCTTGCTTTACCCATCATAAAAGCAACATGTCTTTGTCCTTTATCGTCCACCATACAAAGATAACTTACAGAGCCATAGCCAGACTCCGAAGCATCTGAAAAATGATGCAACTGACACGAGATGAGTTTTCCAAAACTGTTGGGCTTCATACAACGAGGAACACTAAATTGTGACAACTTTGTTATGTCTTGCACCCATTTTGTCCATTGTAGCGTCACCTCAGGGGCCAATTCCTCGTCCCACCCATGGCCTGATTTACATAATTGCTGTAGAAGTTGTTTTGCTGGCAGTGTGACTGGTGCCAGCATCCCTAGAGGATCATACACAGAGCTTACCATGGAGAGGATCCCTCTCCTGGTCAATGGCTTTTCTGTGACCTTTATGTCAAACCTGAAGGTGTCGTCCTCCACACTCCATTGCAGTCCCAATGCACGATCAGTAGGCAGTTGGTCCTTTGTTAGATCCAGAGATCTGATGTCCTTTCCTCTTGCCTCCTCCTTGATGCTGCACAGCACTGCGCGGCTGTTACTCACCCACTTTGTGAGGTGGAAGCCTCCTTTTGCGCACAATTTCACCAGTTCAGAAATTATCTGGATAGCGTCCTGTTCTGTAGGGGCAGAGGTCAGGCAATCATCAACATAAAAATGATTCAGGACTGTACCGGTTACCTGCGGACTGAAGTTTGAGTTGTCTTGGGCAGTTTTCCTCAGGGCGTAGCTGGCACAGCTTGGTGAGAAAACTGCACCAAATATGTGTACAAGCATACGATGGTCTAGGGGTTCTTTTTCATAGTCCCCATTAGGCCACCATAAAAACCTCAAAAAATCTGTGAGAGTCTGTGACACTCTCACCTGATAGAACATCGACTTGATGTCTGCCATTAGAGCTACAGGCTCATGTCTGAACCTGAGCAGCACTCCAATTAAGGAGTTGGTGAGATCTGGGCCTTGGAGTAACTGAGAGTTTAGTGAGACCCCCTGATACTCAGCCCCACAGTCAAACACAACTCTCAGGGTGTTCTTCCTGGGGTGGTAGACTCCATGATGAGGAATGTACCATGTTTTTCTTTTTTCAACTTTTTCTTGAGGAACTACTTCAGCATATCCCTCGGTTAAAACATTGTTCACAAAGTCTGTATATTCCCTGTGAAATGAGTGGCTTTTCTTAAACTTTCTTTTCAGGCTTTGAAGTCGTTGAACAGCTACTTGCCTGTTGTTGGGCATTTCCGCTTTGTCTCTGAAAGGCAAGTCAAGAATATAATGTCCATCTGTTAATGTAACTGAGCTGTCCATTCTTTCCAGGAATTTTTTGTCCTCAACTGACAGCTCTCTTTTTTCGTCTGCTGCATTTTCATTAAAGTCCACATTGTAATGACTAATCAGCAGTTTTTCTAGGCTTTCAACAGTTATTCGGTTCACTGTTACAGAAGAGTGGTCACAGTCGCTTGGGCCTTCTATTAAAGGGCCATTGATAACCCAGCCCACTAATGTTCGTACTGCATAAGGACCACCTCCCTGGCTATTTATTATTTCCCAGGGTTCAATGACTTTGGAAGCGTTGGTTCCTATGAGTAGCTCAATGTTACTATTGATTTTAGGGATATCAATACTTTGTAGATAAGACCACCTTTCTAGGTCCTGCCTTTTTGGTATATTGTCCGTAGTAACAGGCATTTCCTTTTGAGTGTACAAGTCTGGGAGGGGTAAAAACCTGTCTTCACACATCCCAGACACCTCCAAGCCTGATACTATATTGGTTGGTACAAGTTTTTCATTGCCCATGGTTTTTAACAATATTTGTGCTCTTCGTCCTTTTAGTCCCAACTGACACATAAGACGTTCCGTACAGAAGGTGTCAGTGCTGCCGGGGTCAATAAAAGCATAAACCTCCATTACTTTACTGCCCTTAATGGCTTTAACTTTGACTGGGACTACTGAAAGCACATTGCTTGTTTCAGTACCGGCCCCAATATGCCCACATGCTTTAGGGTGGATTACACCTGGCCGGGCGTCACCCATGTTTACTTCACCTGTCCCTGAAGTCATTACTTTCACATTTTCAGTTTTGTCATTTTGAGACATATGGAGAACAGTAGGATGCAGCTTTTTGCATATAGAGCAGGTTTGTTTTTGTCTGCAAAATTTACTTATATGTCCTTGCTGCAAACAACCAAAGCACATTCCCCTTTCTTTCAGATATGCAACTTTGTCCACGTGCTTTTTGGTTTTGAATAATTTGCAGTCTTCTAATGTGTGACTTTTGCTGCACAGTTCACATAAAGCTTGCAAAGTATTTTCTTTTTGCTGTGTGGGCTGAGAAGCAGCATTAGAAACTGTGGTAGCAAAACTACTTCCATTTGACTTTGGTCTAGCTCTTTGAGTCTTTTCTTTAGTTTTAAAGGGCTTGTCCTGTATGTCTCCATACACAGGATCACACAGTATTTTCACTTGCTTTTCCAGAAAATTGACAAGATCATTTAACTGAGGCCTCTGCCTGTCCTGAAACTCGCATACTAACGATCGCCATCTTTCTCTGAATTTGTATGGCAGCTTCATAACAAGAAGTTTCATGTTTGAGGACAGATTAATTTCCTGAAAGTAACTCATGTCCTCCATAGCATTACAACAGCTCCTAAGAAACAGTGTAAATGTTTGTAATGCCTGTGGGTCTTCACTTTTAACAGCAGGCCACTCTAAAGCCTTTTTTATATAGGCCGTACAAATTTTGAACTCATTTCCAAAATGTTCTTGCAGTAAGCGTTTTGCTTTCTTATAACCTGCCTCTGGATTCATGTGGAGGCAGCTTTTAACAAGTTCATTTGGAAGTCCTCTTGTAAACTGTTCCAAAAAATAGAGTCTATCTGCACCATTTCTTGTCTTGAGCTCAACCACGTGTTCAAATGCCTTGATGAATGTTTGATATGACAGCACATCACCTTTAAAAACAGGTACTTCTTTATGTGGTAATGAAGACTGCTGCTGCTGTTGAACAAGTAAAGCTGCAATCTCATTTTGACCTTTTAGTACATTTATTAAACTTTGATTGGAGTCAAAGTCTATGTCTTGCTCCTTTTTGGGACGGATAACTGGGACTTTCCTAGTTTCCCTTTTTACTGGACTAGAGGATTTTAAAGTCACTTTTTGTCCTGTAGTTTCTTTCTTTGAAACTCCTACATTTACAGTTTGAAAGTAAACCCCCTCTTTGGGCCGAGCACCTGGAGTCTGTAATATAGAAACTGCTTGATAAGCTCTGTCCAGAGAGAGAAAACCTCCATCTTCACTTTCATCTTTAATTGATGTTTCTGCAAAGTAGTCATTCATAGCATCTTTACCTTGGTCTCCTGATGCATTACCCTCCTGTATCGAGAGCGCTGCAAGCTTGGATGAAGAAGCATCTAGCTTGGTTTTCAACTCCAGAGCTTCACGCTTTTGCTTTACTGCCTGCAATGCTCGATTCAGCTCCTCTTCCTCCTTTTGAAGATCATGCTTCTCTGAGAGGGCGGCCATTTCGATTTCCAAAGCCGCTTTTTCCGCTTCAGCAACCATTTTTGCAGATGCCACAGAAGAGGCGCTGGTTCTGGAGACATTAGAGACGCTGTCCTTTGGGGTAAGGTCCAGGTTGATATCCTCGTGGTCCTGGTCCTGGTCCTCCAGCCCTCCTGGACCTGGGTCCGGGTCCTCGTCTGCTGATTCGTTTGGCTCCTGCTCTCCTTTAGAAGCCCCAGACAGCCACTCGGACACATGTAAAACATATTCCTTAATTTCCAAAATCTTAGGTTTAAACCATTCATCTTCGTCTTCATCAGCCTCTTCATTTGATAATACTTCATGATAGGCTGCATGTATCTGCTTAAATTCTTCTAGCAGTTCAATGAATTTATCAAAATTGTCTCTCACTTCTTGTACAGAGGAAGCATCTTGCATTAACTCCAACAATATGTTTTTTCTTCTTGTTAAATGTGCTAGTTTTCCTCTTCTAAGTCCTTTTAGCTTTACTGCATATTCTCTTGAACTGGGGTTGCCTTTCTCCTCTTCAGTCTTCTCCATGTCAGCCATTTTGTAACACAGTCCAATAATCTACTCCTATAGTAGACTCCTATAAGGATTTAACTTTTCCAATAAAGCCCACTCCTATAGCAGATCTTCTTCCTTTGTAGTTATCCTTAAGTTAGCTTAGCATTGAAGAGTGTGAAGAGTAGCTTGGGTGGTACATACCCAGTTGTAGGCTTTTTAGGCCTCACCATGCTTTCTTTGTTTCCTTGGCATTTGGAGAGGCAATCCATGGTTTTCAGCCGTTGTTGCAGTGTTTGAATCCATTTCCATCTTCTTACTCCAAGATTCTTGAAGGAAGTAGTCTTTGACTTTGTGTAGAGTCAGAAAAAATCCTTTCTTTGTGGTGACTGAGCAAAAAGGGTCTGACGCTCCACATAAAAAATAAGAAATGTCCACGAAAAAGATTCTTGAATAATGAAAATTATATTTATTTTACAAACAAAAAATGTACTTCCAATTGTACCAAAATCAAAATGAAAGGCAGATGTGAGACAGAGTGAGTGAGTGAGTGAGTGAGTGAGGTCAAAGACTGTCTCTTCCTACTGCAGCCACACCTCCAGGTGATACTGCACACCTTATGTAGCCCTACCCCAGTGCGTCCACTAGATGGCGACAAAAGCGTCAATGGGGGCTGTACAAAGTACATTTTGGCTCCTACACATAAAATAATCCACAACCAATCATCTCCCCCACTCAGTCAGTTTGTCAGCATCAGAAACCCCACATCTTTACAGCGGGTGACCAGAGGAGCAGCTCGAGGAGACTGCATAGTTCCATTTAGGAAAAGTGCCTTTAGTCAGAACACCTTTTCTGTAACTGCAGCCAAAGACTGGAACTCCATCCCAGCTAACATAAGAGATCTGTCCACTTACATACTGTTTAAAAAACATTTAAAGAACTGGTTCATTACTCAACAGTCTTGCAGTCATTAACCCCTGTCTGTCTGTATTATGACTCTTTTATTGTTTGTATTGTTTGTATTTGTATTTAACCTGTATAGTGTAGTGACTGTGTCCTACTTTGTATTTTATTGCACTGACCGTAATGTTTTATTGTCTTAGGGAGACTTTTTACATCTGTCCAGGGACTACGGATGAAAAATAGCCTTTTGGCTAATTCCGGTGCATTTACAGAAATGTTGATTAATGTACACTGTCCCTGTCAAATAAATAAAATAAATAAATATATATATATATTTGTTGTTTTATTCATGTATTTGCATTTTGAAGGTTTCCCAGAGACAGAAATGGTAGGAAGAAGTGGGAAGTGGCTATGAGGAGGGAAGGATTCACTGCAAGTGATTCATCCGTGCTTTGCAGTGAGCATTTTAAGCAGGAAGATTTGGACAGGACAGGTCAGATTATCCGACTCAGAGATGGTGTTGTTCCATCCATCTTCAGCTTCCCGGTTAATCTCCAAAGAGTAGATTTATCACCATAAGGCTGTCAGCACTAATATATTCTATTCTATTATATAATATATATGTTATAATAACATATTACAAATATATATATAATTTCTTTTCAAGTACTATGTTTCTCCGTTTTAGCCAGAAAAGGATGTATGTGTATATATATATATTATATATATATATATATATATATATATATATATATATATATATATATATATATATATATATATATATATATATATATATATATATACATACATATACATGTGTGTGTATGTTTCAGTATTTCACTTGTTGAATAAATGTCCCTAACATTTTGTGAGTAGTGTATAGATACAACATTGTGTATTATGCAAAATTCCTGTCATACATCACATATATCATATATCAAAATATTCTATTACTGTTAAACCCACTATGAATATTAACATACGCCAAACCATGTGTCCTGTGTCATAGCTACATGTGTGTGGTTTACAGTAAAAAAAAAAGTGTGAAAATCAGTGAAGTATTCAGCGAGTTATGATTGATTAAATGCGCTGACTCGTCACTGCGCCTGCTAAACAGATTACTCTGAGAGGAGCGGGCGACCGGTCCAAGATGGCGGCGCTACGGCTCGTCGGCGCCAATGGACAGTAGCGGTAGATGCGGCGTCTATTCTATTTATGTCTATGGTCGTCCCCCCTCGGTCCTGCCGTGAAATGCGTTACCACGTCACTGTTGGAGGAGGCTCCTGATTGGTAGACGCTCGAGTCTTCTCCCGAAAAGTTCAACATTGTTCAACTCGAGCGTCAGCCCTGCGTCAAGACGCTCGAAATCTCAAAACGCGCCACGCCAAACGCGCGAAACGCTCAAAGACGCGCTGCTTGGGAGGCGCGTGACGCGCCGCGTGATCTCTTGACGCTCCTAGACGCACGTCCCCCATGTTATGACAATGTAAACCCGACGCTTTGGACGCTCAAGACGCGTTTGGTCTGAATGCAAACCAGCGCTGCGCGTCTCACGGCAGCCAAAGCAAACCAAGATGGCGGACATGTAGTCCGCGAATTACTTTAAAAGTTAAATATGAACGAAGTAAGACACGAATGTCACTTTTAATGCAACTTGAGGCGAGATGTTGATGGTTCTGCGTTGTGATATGTGTGTTTTAAGAGTAAGAGTTTCGTGTAAAGTTTGTTTTAAGCAGTCCACTGCTCCTGTGAAACTACACTGCTAGTGTGCCCAAATCTGATTTGCGCATGCACACAAACCCGCCAGAATGGGGAAGAAACTCGATCTAATTAAACATTTTGTTTGAACACACTTTTGTTAATCATATTGAATACAGTATGATACATGCATAACATTTAATTTATTATTTCCATTATCAACCCGACAGACCAGTCACAGGACGCGTCATGGGCCTGACGTATGCAGCAGTCAACTCAGGGACAGCGATCACACAACAGCAGTGTAGTTTCACAGGAGCAGTGGACTGCTTAAAACAAACTTTACACGAAACTCTTACTCTTAAAACACACATATCACAACGCGGAACCATCAACATCTCGCCTCAAATTGCATTAAAAGTGACATTCGTGTCTTAACTCGTTCTACTTAACTTTTAAAGCAATTCGCGGACTACATGTCCGCCATCTTGGATTGCTTCGGCTGCCGTGAGACCAGTGGGGGAGGGTCCGGAGGGTCCCAGCTCAAAAGTGGCCAAAATGACGTGCGCTCAGTGGCGTTCCAAGGGTACCCCGGGGCCCCAGGCAAAAGAGTCAGTCGATACCGACCATATAACCACATAAAAAGGTTAATACTACAGTAGATATAAATATATTATTTATTTTGCATCATAAAGTTGAAACAGAAATGACAAAATACTAACAACAACAAAGATCAGCAGAACAACAATATTATGAAAACATAATTAACAACTAAACAACAAAGCTTATAGGTTCTCAACTCTGTGACAATACTTCTTTGTAGAACTTGCATATTATAGCAATAATCCTGTGGATTACTGCTTTCCAGAGCTGCTCCTCAAGGTGCAATAGATCCTGGTTTATTTGATCTAGAGCAGATTTTGTTTTTAACCTTATCTGGAGCTCATGCCAACTTTTCATGTTATTTATATGGGGTTTGGAATATTCATGCTCTTTTAAATGTGCAACAAGGTTTTTCCAGTTTTTAAACCCTCCTTTAATTAGAGCATTATTGTCCTTTTTGCCAAATATTTTGCAAGCAAAGCAAAACACTGAATCGGTTGATTTTGAATATACTAGCCATGTTCGCTTTATTTTTTCACCATTTCTCATGACCATGTGACAATATTCCTTTGTGAATCTCCGAGGATTTTGTTCATTGCTTTGAGGAAAAACAATATCCGTCACCTGAAGAGGACCTTTTTTCACCAGGGAACTCTTTTCACCATCATTAAGAACATCAGGCCACTGTACAGGATCAGAAGATGTCAATCTTATTGGTGTTGCTGTTTCTTGGACTGTGGATGCCGTTTGAGCTGAAACCAATTAAAAAAACACATGAATTCTCAAAAGAAAAACACAATAACCATAAATAATCCTGATGTGATATCATTACTTTAACAAACACTATGTTTAGTCTCTTTTTACAGCCTTTACAATTACAATTGTTGCTAAAGATGTCCATATTTACATTACTATTTATGTATTTTTAATTTACACATCTTCAAAATACAAACCAACTTAGATATTGATTTATTTTCAAGTATACCTTTTATATTTGTTTGAAATTATAGATATGGTAGATACTACAAAAGGCCATAGTGTGTAAAATTCAAGCATTTTTTAAAACTAAATACTAGTGATGGCAATATGAAGCCCCATGAAGCCTTGAGGGATAGCAGCCTATTACTCGGCCCATGAGTCGAAGGCTCGAGGTGAATCATGCTCCACTACGCCATCATGTGGACAAAGAAATACATAACACTCAAGTGCTTACAATGAATGGTGAGATCTAATGTTAAAATGTATATTTACAATCTATGGTCTAACGTGTTGTGTTTGAAATGATGCTTCATGAACTATGAACTATTTTAGTCTTTCAGTCAATTGTGTTGATACAACAAACACATCCAAAGTAATACAGTTCTACAGAAAGTGATGAAGAGGAAAAACTACCAAGTGGTGGATTAATTAAACACAACAAACTATTTATTCCCAATAAATAAATACATTTACTTTGCAACACAAAATTTATTATGGGTAGACCGGGATTCGAACGCTATATCTTCTGCTTCGGAGTCCGTCATAGACCGACTGCGCCACACAGCTGTTGTGAAATGTATCATCCAGCGTATTATTACTAATAACTTGAAGCCTTGATATATTAGGTTTTACTGAAGTGAAACGTTTTTAATTGTATTTCATATGAAGTAGTTTCTTAGTACAGGACTGCTCCACATCACGCACACACACGTACGCACACACACACGTACGCACACAGAGGCAGACGGGGACAGCAAATACAGTCTATGGTACAGCCGCGGATCACAAAGCACCTGTCAAAGCAATGCACTCTCCGAACTATATGAAGCACTATATGAACCGTCACGTGGTGCGGCCGCTACGCGAGGCTTCGAACGTCACCACATACGTCACCAACACACGCCTCGAACCACGCTTCAAATAATACGCCCCTTTTTTACTCGGTACACGCTTCGAAGACCCGGCACGCTCAGCACATCACTACTAAATACATTATTGCACTAATATCATACCTGGAGTGGGTGCTTGTGGTTCTGTTTGGTCCTCTTGGTCAATGGAGGTAGGCGACGAAATGTTGACAATTGCAGTATGGGATATAGCTGACTGCTGCTCACTGGAGGAAGCGCTGCTGTCCAGGGCTGTAGAGCTTGAGGGGGCAGTAAACCTTGACGTGGCAGTACTTGGGGCTGTAGTAGTGTGTGTAGCGGCAGACTGAGCTTAAAGATAAAAAGAAATCAAACATGGCATTAACGTCGTAATGTATTTTGATAAAATATCTTTAGAAGTAAGAATATATATAGATAAAGTACTTACAACTAGCAGCATGTTCCTGATTTGAAGAAGATGAGGGAACTAAACATTTTCTTAGCAATCCTGAGCAAAAGGGGAAAAATATATAATTTAGTAAGTAAAAATGCATCTATTAATTGTTTACATTAAAATTAAAATGTAGACAATTTCTTATTTCTATCAATAAATGTACAAGCCTGGCATACTGCACAGTCTACCATAGAAAATTAGTATTTTAAAAAGTATTTGGTGACAAAAAGCAATGAGAAATAAATTATTTCTTTTAAATGCCTTTTTATAAACTTGTTCACTACACTCATCATGTTATAATTAATTACAAACACTACCTGCTATCAAAGTGTATTAATCCTTCAAAACGCTAACAATAGCATGCTAAATGTTGCTGTGATGTGATCCGTTATTATAATAGATCCATGGATGTGATCCGCAAACAAACAAGTTAGTTCCAAGAGCGTGAGAGACACAGTAGTCATGTAGACTAGATGAACTGACAGTCACTCACCGCTATCATGCTTTCCTTTCTCGTCTTCCTCTTTTTTGCGCTTTCGTTTATCGCTTCCAGAAGGATAACTTCTCTTCATTTGGTCGGACAACTTTGTTTTGCTTTGGGAGAAATAGCACGCTGCCGGTGAACGAGTTCTACTTACTCATCGATCAAAATGCTCGAAAGTAGGGGTGTACCATTCTATTGCCAGTGACATTGCGTTACAATGCTTTGGAGACAGGTGAAGCGGGGTGCGAGTACGCGGACACGCAGGTGGATCTAGCCCACTCTACAAATACAACATGTGTTTGGCCGTCTGCTGTCGTCTTTCAGTGACACCCTCTTGCTGCTGTCATGCTTTACACACACACATGTTCGTCCTGTCACAGTTGCATGCTCATTATTAGTCACATTATTGCTCACTCATACAACCCGAACGTCCTTTTCCTGGTCTGTGATAGCGATCACATACAGCATTAATTCCACATGTGATTTCTTTTTCTACATCAACATTTCTTATGACTGTAGTCTATGAGAACAATGTGTGAGAGCAGGCGCTGGTCATGTGTTTGTAAATCGCTGTTGTGAGCGTGTTTATTGAATGGAAACACCACAGTCCCACCGCAGCTCCAGGTTAAACTGCGCACCTTGCAGCTGCTCAGGTCAGTGTCATGGGAAACAGTTCGCGATTCACAGACAGTATATGGAACAGCAACAACACATCTGATTTACGTTGATTATATGTGATAGCAATCCTTCGTCAGAAACACTACGAGAAAGGAGTCTTTATTTCGGACTTTAGAGGTCCCGCAGAGGCAGTGGGCTTTTATTGTGAAAAATGTCTAAGCCACGCCTACTTTCGAGCATTTTGATCGATGAGTAAGTAGAACTCGTTCACCGGTGAACGAGTTCTACTTACTCATAGATCAAAATGCTTGAAAGTGGGCGTGGCTCAGATATTTTTCACAATAAAAGTCCTCTGCGGGATGTCCAAAGTTCGAAATACAGACACATTTCACGTAGTGTTTCTGAGGAAGGATTGCTATTAGATATAATCAACGTAAAGTCAGACGTGTTGTTGCTGTTCCAAATACTGTCTGTGCCTCGCGAACTGTTTCCCACTACACTGATCTGAACAGCTGCAAGGTGCGCAGTTTAACCTGGAGCTGGGTTGTTTTCATTCACTAAACATGCTCACAACAGCGATGTACAAACACATGCTCATCGCCTGCTCTCACATACTGTTCTCCTAGACTACAGTCATAAGAAATGTTGATTTAGAAAAGCAAATTACATGTGGAATTAATGCTGTAGGTGATCGCTATCACAAACCAGGAAAATGACGTTCGGGTTGTATGAATGAGCAATAATGTGACTAATAATGAGCATGCAACTGTGACAGGACGAACGTGTGTGTAAAACATGACAGCAGCAAGAGGTTGTCACTGAAAGACGACTGCAGACGGTGAAACACATGTTGTATTTGTAAAGTGGGCTAGATCCACCTGCGTGTCTGCGTACGCTCACCCCGCTACATCTTTGAAATGCGCTGCTTTTGTGGCGATTTCATGACACTCTTCGTGTGCCCTACTGCTTATTTAACATGTCCTAATGCTAACGTTGCTCTGGACCTGGCCCCGAGTTTATACATTGCTATTGTGAGCGCCTTTGGTGAGTGGACACACCACTGTCCCACCTCAGCTCCAGGTTAACTTGCAGACCTTGCAGCTGCTCAGATCAGTGTTGTGGGACGCTGTTGCCATTCACTAAGTCATTAGAAATGTTGTTCAGGTTATACTCCCCACAAATGAACAACTTTGACAATAAACTGTGACAAAACCGCGTCCAAACACATGATCTATGTGTCTGTCTGCGCTTTTGAAATGTCAGTGAGGGACGAGGCACAAGGGGCAGATGATGCACCATTCTATTGTCAGTGATATTGCTTTACAATACACTGGATACATTCAAAGATGTAGCGGGGTGCGCGTACGCGCAGGTGGATCTAGCCCACTCAACAATTACGCGGTTTTGTACGTGTTGCGGTGGACAGCGGCAGATTAACCTGCTGATGCGGCTCCAGATCCTCTTTCAGAGACGTCTCTGCTGCATTTCTCTTGCATCGCGCTGCGGACATGTTTTAAACGCGTTGCTCCGTCACAGTTTATTGTCAAAGTTGTTCATTTGTGGGGAGTATAACCTGAACAACATTTCTAATGACTTAGTGAATGGCAACAGCGTCCCACAACACTGATCTGAGCAGCTGCAAGGTCTGCAAGTTAACCTGGAGCTGAGGTGGGACAGTGGTGTGTCCACTCACCAAAGGCGCTCACAATAGCAATGTATAAACTCGGGGCCAGGTCCAGAGCAACGTTAGCATTAGGACATGTTAAATAAGCAGTAGGGCACACGAAGAGTGTCATGAAATCGCCACGAAAGCAGCGCATTTCAAAGATGTAGCGGGGTGAGCGTACGCAGACACGCAGGTGGATCTAGCCCACTTTACAAATACAACATGTGTTTCACCGTCTGCAGTCGTCTTTCAGTGACAACCTCTTGCTGCTGTCATGTTTTACACACACGTTCGTCCTGTCACAGTTGCATGCTCATTATTAGTCACATTATTGCTCATTCATACAACCCGAACGTCATTTTCCTGGTTTGTGATAGCGATCACCTACAGCATTAATTCCACATGTAATTTGCTTTTCTAAATCAACATTTCTTATGACTGTAGTCTATGAGAACAGTATGTGAGAGCAGGCGATGAGCATGTGTTTGTACATCGCTGTTGTGAGCATGTTTAGTGAATGAAAACAACCCAGCTCCAGGTTAAACTGCGCACCTTGCAGCTGTTCAGATCAGTGTAGTGGGAAACAGTTCGCGAGGCACAGACAGTATTTGGAACAGCAACAACACGTCTGACTTTACGTTGATTATATCTAATAGCAATCCTTCCTCAGAAACACTACGTGAAATGTGTCTGTATTTCGAACTTTGGACATCCCGCAGAGGACTTTTATTGTGAAAAATATCTGAGCCACGCCCACTTTCAAGCATTTTGATCTATGAGTAAGTAGAACCAGTGTTGCCAACTTAGTGACTTTGTCGCTAGATTTAGCGACTTTTCAGACCCCTATAGCGACTTTTTTTCAAAAAAGCGACTAGCGACAAATCTAGCGACTTTTTCTGGTGTTATTGGCGACTTATCTGGTGTTTTGGCGACTTATCTGGTGTTTTGGAGACTCGTGAAGCACGTATTGTTCTGCTGTCCTCAACGTGAGCTCCTCCCCCGTCCCAAAGCACTTACAGGCGGCCAGTCTCACAGTAGCCTTGCGCAGCAGTCCCAGCTAGTCTATGGGCGGAGCAGAGAGAGAGAGAGAGAGAGACCCTCACCACTCGGCGTCCGGACTGCAAATGAAATGCGCTTGCGCAAAAGCCGCCGCTGGCTTGCAGAGCGGGATTTAAATGTAAACGTTTCTTCGCTGTGACGCTGTCACACAAATAAATCACTGCATTTGACTCACACAACCTCAGCAGCTCAGTCACTTATTCACCTCGTCCACTGTGTGTGTAGCCTACCTCTCTGTGACATACGATCTTGCTAGCTAGCTCAGCATGGCTCAGTTTAAACTCTTCAGTCAAAAGTACAGAAAGGAGTGGGAATCAAACCCTGAATTTAAAGGCTGGTTGAAGCCGTTTATTGGTGACAATACACGGGCATACTGCATGTACTGTAAGGCCGATTTCTACGCCAAACTTAGTGATATTAAAAAACACATGGCAACAGAAAAACATACTCAAAAGGCAAAGCCTTATAACAGCTCCACCCAGAGCAAGCTGCCATTAATTATTAAAAAAACAGAATCTGCAAAAAAGGCTGAAGCCACCATGGCATTAGCTATTGCTGAACACTGTTCCTTGCTGGCATGTGACCATATTGGGGAAGCATGTAAAATTGCTTTTTCAGACTCCACTGCTGCGACTCATTTCAAAATGCACAGGACAAAGTGCACAGAGATGATTAATGGTGTTCTAGCACCATACTTTCTGAAAAAGTTGGTCACAGATGTGGGTGACCAGCGTTTCAGCCTCCTCCTCGATGAGTCCACAGATGTTAGTGTCTCTAAGTACCTGGGGGTTGTGATAAGGTACTTTAGTGACACCAAGCAGACAATTGTCTCAACATTTCTGGGGCTTGTTGAGCTAGAGGGAGGAGATGCCAGATCTATAGCCCGTGCTGTTGTGGCTTTTCTGGAGAAGTGTAGTCTTAAAAAAGAGAAACTCCTGGGGATAGGGACTGACAACGCCTCTGTTATGACAGGGATTAACAATGGGGTTCATAAAGTCCTGAAGGAGGAGTATGGCCTCAAAGATCTTGTCCTTATTCGCTGTGTGTGTCACTCTCTGCAGCTTGCTGTAAGTCATGCTTCCAATGACACAATCCCCCGTAGTGTGGAGTACTTGGTACGGGAGACTTATAACTGGTTTTCAGTGTCTCCAAAGCGCAGGGAGGCCTACAAGGCCATAT